ACCCCGTATCTTTTAACCGAAGGCCTTGCGGACCCATGTTCATAGGAACTTTTTCCCTTATTTTAGTGTCCTCTATTGTGTGGTACTATGCAATGTACTTTTTTCTATGTCACCCTGTATAAGGAAAATCTGAAGTTACTCTTTCACCCTTTATTTGTTAACGCCCTGTGACGAAATTGAGAAGTTGAACTTGGTTTCACTATGCTTTGGATCGAAGTGTGATTCCGTACTAACACAATAGTTCTTGATTCACGTCAATGTCTTATTTTTGAAAGGAGATACGAGTCTTTTAAGAAAGCATGGCATTTTTCAACTTCATGAACTTATTGATTAACAACTTGGGGTTATAGGGACTGTCAATATGATTGCAAAATGCCATAAACCAAGGTCCAAAACCGCTTCGTTATCGACATATAGAGTGATTTGTGGATTTTGACAAAAAATTCAATCCGCAATATAAAATACAGGGATTAGCCGATTGGATTCAAATTTGGTACACGAATAACACTGAAAAGCGTCAACAAGTAGCCCTCTGATCGAAACCAATATCAGGACCGGAATGATATTTTTTCCCTATGTTGAGTTATTGTGAGAATAACTCACCCTGTATATATATATCCAAAAATTTCAACTCAGATTCGAAATCTACGGTAAAAATTGTATAGGAATTTGTAGAAAAATATCCTGGCACCATCGTAGTTATTCCGTAATTAATTATTATTTTAATTTTTTTCATTCAAAAACCAATTATTGCCGGATAAAGTACCATTGAAATTGGTAATATAATAAATATTAACCAAACCATGAAATGAATATCGTTATTTTCTTCAATCAGTTCGTAAATCGTAGTAATAGTAGTAATAATAAAATACTCTCATAACCCGAAAAAAACTGAAGAATAAATTCGTATCAGGACTGGAATGAGTTTTTTTTGTTTATATTAGCTGACCTAGTAGGTACATCAATAATATTTACCGAAGATTTCGAATCTGAGTTCGAAATTTCGGTTTTTATTATACAAGGTGAGTTATTCTCACAAAAACTCAACATAGGGGAAAAATATGATTCCGGTCCTGATATTGGTTTCGATCACAGGACTACTTCTAAATTTCTCTTAGTGTAATCCGTGTAGCAAATTTGAATCCAATCGGTTAATCCCTGTATTTGATATGGCGGATTGAATTTTTGGTCAAAATCCACAAATCACTCTGTATCTCAGTAACGAAGCGGTTTTGGACATTCGTTTATGGCATTTTGCAATCCTATTGACGGTCCCTATAACCCCATGAGTTTTGTCGGTTTCATCTCCGGACACCCTGTATACCTTCCTCGAGGTTGAATTACAGCATTCAACCGCCGTGGCATCGAATTGATCAAATTTCTCAATCTTGAAGAATTGCCTAAAAATCTCCATGAAGGGCAACTCATAGCTTTTGAAGATTTTCTGACAAGACCGAACGAAGGCGAATAAGCCATCCCTAAGATGATCTATAGATTAAGAATTATTGTCGATGACAATTGAAAAATTCCATAGTTTCTTGAAACACATGTATATTCTCTTTAAAAGAATATATTGACGTGAATCTAAAAACGTTGTGTTAAGAAGGGACGAAAAATCATCACACTTCAATTGAAACATGATGAAGCAGAAGGTTGGAGGATGGTTCTGAATTATTGTTTTCTTAGTAGGTAATAATCATCCCTTTCAAGTGGATCCGGTATACCGTAATTTAATGTAGATATTGTGCCTAATTTCCGAAAATGGAGGTTTATCGATGCTGTCCACAGGTAATTAATCCTCCAAGTTGGGAAAGTAGAATATTATATTAAAGTTAAGCAAGCCAACGTTGGTTTAGTTCATTGTACCAGTATATCACCTGACGAAGCTACTGTGTTAGCGAAACATGTTGTGTGTATAAGAATTTTGTGGAAATCTTATCGTTTGTGAAGTTTTTACATTTGTTAATACAAATTTAAAAATCCATACTCTCTTAAAACACTTGTATATTTTCCCTCGAAAAATTGTTACCGGCGTGAATAAAAAACCATTGTTTTAAGAAGGGATCACACTTCAATTCAAAACATAATGAAGCTAGGTTTAACCACTAAACTTTGCCATAGGGTGTTAAGAAGTTGAGGGTGGAGTAACTTTTGTTTTTTCCCCGTATAATGATCAAGTCATCAGCTTTCTTGAGGAACTAATATTCAGACTGACATTCCGAAACATGAATTTGGTCGAAATTTCACCAAAATCGGACGAAAATTAAAAAAGTTACCGGGCGAATTTCCTGTATGGTAATTTGCACAAAATTTCGCCATTTGATATTGAGGTATGAATTAGGTCATTTGGTACTAATATTCCCTAACTAGCTGCTGGTAATGGAACATTTCTGACGTCTTTTTAAAGATAAGTTGGTAAATTTGGGGAAATTGAGGGAAATGCTGTTTTGATCCATCTGAAAGATAAAATGGTAATTTTGCACTTATCATGCGATGGGTTTTTTTTCCGAAAATTTTTTTTGGTACTTACGTATTTTTGTCTGAAAAATACGAATTTGATAATGAAAATGTGAACAAACCACTATTTATCGAGATATTTGAACAAAAAGTTCGAAATTTTGCCTTATTTTCCTCCTTGTGTTGGATGCATTTACAGGTACTTGCTCTTTTTATTTTTTCATTGAACACTTTCTATACTCATGATGTATTTCAATGACACATTTTGAGATGAAAAATTCAACAGGAAATATGATTTTTATGGCGAGTTTTTTCTATTTAGTGAGCAAGCATACCAGATGACGGCCATTTAATCAATAGTCAATCCAAATACGAGATGTCGAATGTCAACAGATTGCTTTTGAATAACATTACACACGCCATTATTTTAAATGATATTCTTCCTTCTTTTCACCAAATATGGATAAATCTCAAGGAAATCATATTTCAAGTTGACTCATATAATGAAAAACGAATCTATTAGACAAGTCATAACTTCTAGACCATTAGGTGTATCAAAACGAGATTTGGTATAGGTAAATTGTAAGTCAAAAGGAGAGTTTTCACATATTTTCCACTTTCCGGTCATTTCCGGGTTCAGTACATTCCATATTAAAATAGTCGCTACAGGTAGAAGAGATTTCATGAACATTTGTGCAGGCAAATGGGTAAGACAGAAATGATGGAATATTCTCCATTCTAATTATATCTTCAGAGCGTCTTTCAAATTCGCTCAGAATTTTTGTCACTTCGTTTTCATATGACACGAAACTTTCAGAGTTTCATTGCAATAACAGGGTTGGAAAGTTCCTGCAGTCTTTGTTCTTAATTTCTTCCTTCAATTGTTTCAGCTTACGCTTGAAAGCAATTATGGAGGACATCATGTCTTCAGGTGCTTTTTAATGTTGACTAAAAAAGCCACCGTACCGAAGGAGTGTTGTGGTACACAGGTACAGTCTTCATAATTCTTTATACTTTTTTTTTTAATTTTTCCTTGGCGATCGACTTTGAAAGCCTTCGCGATCGACCGGTCGATCGCGATCGACCGAATTGGCACCCCTGCATTACTAGATAATCACAGTGTGTAACATTCTGAAATTTTTGCACCGTTTCAGACACATAGCAGACTGAATTTTTTCCATCACGAAAATCTATATAGAGTGGACAGAAAAAGAATATATGCGCATTTTCAACTTTGATACCCTGTATCTCAAAACTTAGGATGTTCTGCGACATACGTTCATATGAAGTTTTATTCTTGAAATGGGTCCAAGAATCGCCCCCCTTGAATATTAGCATTTCAATAAGGAACACCTTGTATACTTGACAGTTTTGGATTTATAGGTAGGGTTGTTTGTTAGTTTATATCTCCGGACATACTCGGAATTTCGAAACTTTCTAAATATTGTAATATTGTTATTTAGCTAAATGCGCAACTTTGCTCTGATCCAATCTTCTTCTTACAGGCTGATTCACCATAAATATCCCCCCCTCTAGCTCAGTTATTTTTGAACCGATTGCAAAGTTTCAAATATCACCCTAAAATGATTCTCGATAGAGTTTTTTTCTGCTACATCAGAAAATAGAAGGTGCTCGGAACAAACGATCTACAGGGTACAATTCGATTTTTTTTAAATGGAACACCCTATTGTTCATTGTATTTTCAGATTCTCCCTGAAGAGCTGATTTCATCAATGTATCACACTTGGGGTCTAGCGAAAATGATTACAGAGATATAGGGTGTTCAAAATCAAGATTTTTCAACTTTAGGATTTTTTTCTGACGAAACTATTCATTATCGGTCAAAACGGTTCCATGTCCGTATCTTAACTTTTAATTCACTATCTACTGATATTTAATAATTGGAACAGATACAGGGTGATAAGAATTCTGAATCTTGAACCACACTGTTTATGTTCCAATTAAATGTCAGTAGATAATAAATCAAAAGTTGAGATAAAGACATTAAAGCCGTTTTGACCAATAATGAATAGTTTAGACACGAAAAAATCCTAAAGTTGAAAAATCTCGATTTTGAACACCCTATATCTTTGTAATCATTCCCGCTACACCCCAAGTGTGATACATCGATCAAATCAGCTCTTCAGGGAGAATCTAAAAATACAATGAAATACAAGGTGTTCCATTTGAACAAAATCAAGTAGTACTCTGTAGATTGTTTGTTCCGAGCACCCTGTATTTTCTGATGCAACGAGAAAAAAATTCTGAAAAATCATTTTAGATTTTTCAAATTTTTAAATCAGTTAAAAAATTAGTGAGCTAGAGGGGGGAGGAGATTTATGGTGAATCACCCTGTACCTCTTGTAGTTTCCGAGATCCCAATGGTGAGAGTGGAATTCGAATAACCCTGTACATTTTATTCATCAGATGACGGTGGAAATTCGCAGCCGGCTCTCGGACTACCGCAAAACCTTGAATCTTAGTATTTAAAATGACGAAAACAAAATCGTTCCGACTAAGCCTAGGTTCGCGATTCGGGCGCTTCACTTCTTTTTGTTTTTGTTCGTCGCTCCCCTGGGAGGTGTCACTGGTCTGCCGGCGTTCATGTTGTACTGGAACTTCCGTTTGTCGGCCGGTTTCAGGATTTGAAAACTGCACATCAGAGTCTCGTCCACGGACATCATCGCGCCTGCGTTATCGAACTCCCCTGCGAACGAAAGAAAAATATATGACAATAAGTTAGATGAACAAGTCCAGTTTACCAAGTGCAATGATCCTCAATGATAATGAATTAAATGAACCCTTGGACATTTTGAATGCCTTTGCGACCTTTTTTCAATCATCTTTTATAACCTCAACAGTTTATGAAGCTGAGGAAGGACTCGATGACACACCCAGTGTAGCTACTCCATTTATATCAGAAGATCTTGTTCTTAGAGCGTTAAAAAAATTCAAATAAAAAATGACTATGGGCATATTGTGCAATAATATTTGCAAAACCGTTAGCAGTAATTTTCAATTTTCTCTTCAAATAAATGTTTCTCCTGCTTCATGGAAAGCTGCAAAAATATGTCCTGTACATAAAAAAAGGTGATACGTATAATATTGAACATTATAGGCCAAAAGTGATTTTATAATAATAATCTTTATTGGAAATAGGAAACCCTAATATACAAACATAAATATTATATCGACAATTACCAAATTATAATATTAACATAATGCAATTATGCAATTTCAGTAAGTTATTCGAAATGGTAATTCATGAATTTTTGTCAGCACACGTAAATTCACAAGTGTGGTACGTAGTTTTCAATAGGTATTAGATTAGTGTAGGGGTGAGATAATTTATACGACGCTATAAAAGCAGATGATATTTTATCATTGCTCATGTAAGATGGAAGTAGAGGCCATGGCACCATATCATGAGCATATTTTAATATTGAAACTATCATTGGGCACCAAAGATGTGTATACGACGCTATGAAAGTTCAGAGAACTGGAGATTTTTCCCACAAACTACGTACTTAGCCCACTCGACTGTCTTGGTTTTTCCACACAAACTACGTACCTAGCCCACTCGACTGCCAATAGGGACTAAAAAAACAAAAACAAAAGAAAGGTAAAACAATGCCAACATATTTCTTCTTTGTGGGAAATCAAGACAGTCCAGTGAGCTATGTACGTAGTTTATTGGCGAAAAATCAAGACAGTCGAGTGAGCTAGGTACGTAGTTTATGGGCAAAAAATTAAGACAGTCGAGTGAGCTAGGTACCTAGTTTATTGGCGAAAAATGAAGACAGTCGAGTGAGCTAGGTACGTAGTTTATGGGAAAAAAATCAAGACAGTCGAGTGTGCTTTTTTTTACTTTCTTTTGTTTTTTGTTTCGTTTTCTATTGGCAAGTGATTATCTAGGAACTTGTAATTTTTTTAGTTTTTTCATCGTATCTCCCGAACTATTGAATTCAGAGAAAAATGTTATGAGGATTTTTTGTAGATTCTATCAAAAGGAATAATTTTGGTTCTATAACATTTTCAGATATTTTCAGTTGTTTTCGAGATATTTGGAATTATCTGAGAATAAAATTTTCAACACTTTTGTTCTATCTTCCAATCAACAAAAGGAAAAAATATTTCATGGTTCAGTGGGAGTCGATGATCTTCATCTATCGATGATCTTTTGTTTTTCAATATATTATCTTCATGGTACCCTATGGATCGTTCAAATTTTTTTTTCATATTTTTCACTTTATTTCCTGTACTATTGGGTTTACAGAACAAATTATGGGAAATAATTTGTAGGAAATGTTCCAGTGGATAACTTTGCACTTCTGATAATTTTCGATTTTTCCATTTGTTTTCGATATATATTGAATTGAAAGGATTTCAAATTTTGATGTTCTGATTTTCATTTGTTTTTCCATATTCCGATGGATGCACGAAAAAATGGTTAAATAATAATTTGTTGAGAGGCATACGGTGCATTTTTCAAATTTGGATTTAGTCTATTGGTTCAGGAGATATGTCGTTTAAAGCGAACCGTGTGTTTCGGAAAATCTCCTTGAAAAACCCACTTAGAATTTCCCGACCCTGCTCGATTTCAATAGGCTTCGTCTCTTCCTGATAGAGTTATTTTTCACAAAAAATGAAATCGATAGGACCACTTTTGCGATTTGTAGAGTGGTCGCAAGAAACTTTCGGTGAAAAATCGAAAAAACCCGGAAAAACCACCTTAGAGTTCCTTCATATTTTAATGACATAATATTGTTTTAAGTACAATGAGATGGCAAAATTTCAAGTCGATATGTCAAAGAGTTCCGGAGATATATCGATTTATGATTAACACAGAGTACAGACAGACAGACAGACCACACACAAAAACCAAAGTTGCTCAAAATTCGATGGGGATCATTTTCTCCAAAGTAACTATACCTCTATCTCGCTTAGTTTCCGAGATAGCATTTTTGACAAGGCCGTAGTATACTCCACTATGTATAGCGTCGTATAACAAGAATTGTAATAATGTAGACCAGTGCTGAAGCCTTTGAAAACGATAAAAAGTGAAAAAAAAAATAGTAGGATGAAACCATTTTGAAAAGAAAGAGAATATAACAAATAGACTATCAGTCAACCTCAACAAGTGCTATCAGATTCTATTTTCTAAAATCCTTAACCCCCCCCTCATGCACACCTTTACATAAACAACCAACAGATCGTAGTTGTCAACGAAATAAAAGACCGTGGCATAATTTTGGATCGAAAGCTTACGTTTGAAAGTCAGGAAATCCTTGTAAACATTATAGTAGAGGATCCCAAGTAAGGTCGACCTTCACCCATCTGCTTGTCGAATGAAAATTATATTTCATCAAATACAATATGTTTTTGAACAATAATAATGTACAATATTCAGTACATATAAAAAAAAAGTTTTTGCACGACCTATAAGCGATTTTACACCGACAAAAGCGGGAATACAGGGTATACAGAGTAGGTACTCTCTAGGCTGAAAAATTCTCCGGGATTTTTCTGATGACAATCTACTACTATGTTTGCAGTAGCTTCTTCAATAGTTTTTTCACACATTTCTGCAATATTTATTGGAAAAACTTAGGAAATCAGTTTAGAAAATATACTAGTACACTTTTCCGATGTTCACAAAAAGCAATATGGCTACTCTAATTTATCGGTAGTCATGATAATCAAACTTGATTTTGTGATTTCTGTGTCCAGATTTGTATTTTTATATTGACAATAATTGATTTCATGAGATTCTTTGAATTCGAGTCGTGCAAAAAATAGTACATAAACCTCGGAAGTGAGTTCGAACAAAAATTGCATTCTTATAGAGTCTTGAGCAAATTTATCAATTACTTCGTTAATAAAATCAACTCTATATCTATTTATATAAAATGTCGATGAATATTAATTAAACAAAGTATCAGAAAGTCTCTATAATAAGCGCTAATCAGAATAGAAATTGAATAATGTAAATGTATCTTGTTTAGAAAGTATTTGAGTAAGGACCAGGCGTGTCCCCCCTCCAGTCATAGTATAAAAATGGATGAAACCAAATGTCAATTCTATTAATATTCTTTTTTTCCATTCCATGTTTCATGTAGAATAATAGTAGATTATATATCGAGGGAGTAAAGTGCATGATTGTCCCCGAGGTGGTTTTGTAGCCAGAGGGTGCTACAATGCACTGATGGAAGAAAGAACTCACTTCCGAGGTTTATATACTATTTTTTGCACGACTCGACGATTTTAATTGTGAGAATCTTATGATAAAATCCATTATTATCAATATTCACAAAAATCAATATGGCTACTCTTAACCTGTTTATGACAAATATGTTAAACGACTAGAGTCTGTCTAAAGGAGGTTGATTAGAATCTGAATTATCTTTTTTTTCGTCATAGGCATTATGTTAATTATGAAGTGAACCTTGATTTCTACAAATTGGAACCGTTATTCTTGAGACGCGAATTCTATGACTCGTCTTTTGTGTTCAAACTTATAAACAATCTCACTGACTCAGAATTATGCTTGCAATAACTATCACTAAATTGTAATCCCCGTATTTCACGAAATCGACTAACATTCTATCCACCAGCATATTCGACAAATTACTATGGTAACTCTCCCCTTATCAGATGAATGAACTCTCATAACATAATCTGTGACCATGATATTGACATCAGCAACAATTTCACAAGGTTCAAGAAACAACTCAAGTACGAAGTACAAATTAATTACATTATATGGTAGAGCTGCCACTTAAGGCAATAATGTACTCACAACATGCAGGTATTCTTCTTTTCTTTAATCCTCATTAGGAGTGGTAGTTCAATAAATGATATTTATATTGTTACATTGTGTATAACCTTCAGCAACTAGCATAACTCGAATTGTAAAACCATAACTGTACTTTGTGTCACCCTGTAATTGGACAAGTTTTCTGTTTGTCTGTTGGGTGTCCTCATGAATTAAATAAATGAATACCTTGAATAACAAAGTAAAAAACGATTTATCTCGATTTCCTGCAAAACCAAAAGCCCTATGGAAAAAAGTTGAATGGCAAAGTTGTAGGTAATATCATGATCTCCAATTTTCAATTCCACAATTTTTTCACATAACCTCAAAATTTACGTGAAAAATTCGAATAACCAAGTTTTTGTTTTTTTATTTACACCTTTCACAGAAACATTATTTTTTATTTGAAATATTAATTTTTTTCATCTTAATTTGACTCAATCACCCTAATTATCAATCAAAATTCCTCGCGTCAAAATATGTTCTTTATCGAAAGAGTCGATGGGCTTTTTGTTCGTTGAAATATTTACTTTCTGATGGTGTACAAGAATATATACATTACAGTGGGAAACATTATCAGAAAATGCAAAAAAAACGAAAAAGCAGCAGTTTTTGTTTTTTGCAATGTAAATGGATTTGCATTTTTTTGTTCAAGAATGAACATGGAATCTTACGTTTTTCTAGTAATTAGTGTAGCTCACCGACTGTTTTGAAAAAGCGCCCATACTTGACTTCTTATTTAATCTGGAACCCTATTCTATAGATGATTATTTTGAAAAGTGCCTGGATAATGCAGCAGGTTCAGAATATATAAATTTTGCATCCTCACTATAATATAATGTTTCATTATGTATTCATTTTTTGTCCTATTTCTGAATGTTAACTGTGACTGGCTTGTGTATATTACCAATGTATTTGTTATATGTTTGTAATCTGTAATATGAGTGCAGTAAATTATTATTATTATTATTAATTCACCTCAGTGATCGGAACTCAACGCAATAATTAAAATGTAGAAATTGTGTTTCCTTGTGATTTGTAAATCAAAGAATCAAACTGAAAACTAAAACACGTTAACGTCAACTCAAGCTTACCAAACTCACCAGAGAAAATCAACGGTCGTTCTGGTGACAGTGAATCTACCGCTTTTTCAGCAACCGAGTTCCGTAAATAACCTTTTTTCAGGAACCAACCGAACATTTCATATTTACGGAACGGAAAACTACTAACCGAAATATCCATTCCGTCAAATATAATTATAAACATTCAAATCTGAATTTTGAAGTCAATAGTCATAAACAGGAACACATAACCAGACAAAAAGATATGTTAACTCTCATCAAAATTAAATCAGATATGGGTAAAAGATCTATTTTATACAATGAAACAATTCTCTATAATGAATTACCTGCCAGACTAAAGAAAAAATTAAGTGTTGAAAAATTCAAAACAGAACTGAAAAAATACTTATATCTTTGATTCTCTTCATGTCATCCTGAATCAATTCAAGAAATTATATTTAACAGTCTCTAGAAGAAACAACATTATATGTATTATGTATATGATTTTTTTGTGTTTTTTTTTTTTAGTTGCTCTTTCATAATTTTCCCTGCTATAAACATGTAGGTTTCTTGGGAATGATAATAATAAAGATAATAAAGATATTTACAGAACATACCCTTCATTATTTCTTTTTAATGACACATTTGATGCTTTGTCAATGAGATTACTTTTAGGACTAATAAAGCATATTGATATAATTTAGTTTAGCAGCATATAGTATGCAACCAGTAATGCTCAATATTGTCATTAGATTATTTGAGTTGGTAGTAAAAGTAGGGAAGAGAGAGGGAGAAGAAGAGAGAGAGGGACAGTCGAGATTGTAACCGCGATGCCTTGAACCCATGTATTTTTGTGTTGTCAAATAAAGGATTGATTTTAATACAGTTTAATCGTAGAATAATTGTTTTTTTTCTGTGACGGGAAAAAAGTTTGGCATTTCATCTCTGTTGGCAGGTTATAAAATGTCACTTTTCATAAATTACTTTTTTCCCGTGGGAAAAAAGTGAGAACTTTTTTCCCGGATATATATTTCATATATATACTCTGTTAATGACTTTTATGTGCTATAGTTCCCAAAAATGAGTCAATAAAACCGTCTCCGAGAAAGAACTGCAAGTCCTTTTATCTTCCATTCGACTTCGCGGGCGGTTTCGTATATTACTAAACAACTACTGAATTCGCAATTTTTTAAAATCAAATCACAGAATTGAAATGACAGAAGTGACATCAGATATTTGATAACTTCAAAAGAATGATAAAGATGCCTATAAAACGCAGGTGTCCCTACTGTTAAAAACTTGAAATTTCACGTCGATAATTTTCAGATTTCGAAATAATGTAATATCTTCTCAATATTGATTCGTCCTTCCTTCTGTCACAGAAAAAAATAGTGTATTATACACGGGAAAAATATTAGATTTTAGCTCACGGTTTTTTGTCTCCACAAGACAACACAACCTGGAGCTAAAAGCTACTACTTTTTTCCCTTGTATAATAAATAACTATTAATCTATCTAATGCCCACCGAAAGAAGTTAACAATATTTTGATTTGATTAATAAAAAAATGTATGAGTGTGGCCCGCTTTCAAATGGGTCACTCTATTAGGACTTACCGCAATAATTGGGCGCACTGAAGAGTGTGACAAGTTGCCTTTTGGCGAAGAACTCGTATCCGTCTTCCACAACCTGGTGAGCTCTGCAGATCAGGTCGAAGTCATGCTTGTGCAGGAACTTGCCCACCACCTGGATACAAAACAAAATATTATTTTTATACAAACGTCAAAAAATGACAAGGTTCGCGCATTGATAACAAATTGCGAAGTGACACTTTTTTTCAGTTTCCTACGTTACCATGATGCGATTTTACTAAATATACTGTACGCTAGCACAAACCACGCCCACCGTAATATCTCATCTTCGAAGTACTTAGGCAAAACTCAGAGACTATTTATCCTTAACGAACTAACCTATCCCTGATTGCAATATTTTTAAGGAAGGAAAACCGAATGGAGTAGAAACACATTGATTAATAATATATTTTAAAAGTTGAGTTCTTCAACAAAATTGAATAAAATGAGACTGTTTATCCTAAACGCACTAACCTATTTGACTTCAAATATTTTATGAAAAAGGAAAACCAGAATGAAGTAAAAAAACATTGGTGAAAAAAAAAAGTTCAAGTTCACAGCGATTCGAACCATGGACCTTCAGACTGAGAGTCGACAGCGCTAACCAGTAGACCATTTGGGTATATGAATTTACTCCTCTTTGACAGTATATTTAGTGCGATGTGCTGACTCCGAGTATATCGGTAATGTTTGGAGATATGACGTATTATGGTGGGCGTGGTTTGTGCTAGCGTGCAGTATATTTAGTAAAATCGCTACCATGATACCTTGCGAAAAATATATGAGATATTTATATTTCAACTTTATGGTCCTCAATCGAGCAAACATCCACGAATTCATTTGTTTCTGAATGTTCAACAATAGCTTTATATCTCTTGGAGCGCACGAAAGGAAGTTCCTATTATGTTCGTGGAACATCGTAGGCGTACCTAGGGAGGATAGGGGGGGACCTTTCAAGCCAGTTCAACACTATTTTTTATATCAAGCTAAGCATATTTTTAATCAAGAACTATATTTTTTGACGTTTGTAGAAAAAATGTTGACTATTTTTTTTAACTCGGCTACGCCTCGTTAAACAAATGAGATCTCGATCACCAGAGTAGCATTTCCGCTCTAAATACAAAAATAACCATTTTATTACACAGTAGACTTTAAAAATCGATTTTTTTCGAAAATGGTGAGTGCTATAGAAACTAAATAAGAGTACAATTTTTCGAGTAGAACAGATATTTCCTGATGTGTTACGTACAGGGTGATTGGTTATATTTTACTCAATAGCTATCTCAGATATTATTGGTCTTAGAGAAACGATGGGCAAAAATTAAGTATTATTTATGGGCATTCAGAACCTTCTACTAGAAAATGGAAAAAGGTATCATAAGCCTAGCAATTCTAGATGAACTGGTATTTTTTCTATGGAACACCATATATTTAATTTTTTTAAACGGTAGAGCCCTTTCTTCTGGTTTAAAATATACAGGGTGGGTCACGGTCGATGGCACCTTAGACGTTTACGGAGAACGGGACATAAGATCATTCTGAAAATTTGGTTACTCAAGTAATTGCTCTTGATCTATCGATCTAAAATATTTTCAGCTCTGCGGCGTTGCCGCTTCTATCGAAAAGTAGCAACAACTTTGTTATTTTAAATGGAACACCCTGTATTTCATCGCATTTTCAGATTCTCTCTGAAGAGCTGATTTCATCGATGTATCACACTTGGGGTCTAGCGGAAATGATTACAGAGATATAGGGTGTGAAAAATCGACATTTTTCAACTTTAGGATTTTTTTTTGTCGAAACTATTCATTATTGGTCAAAACGGCTCACATGTCCCTATGCCAACTTTTGATCAACTATCTACTGACATTTAATTGAAACAAATACAGGGTGGTGCATAATTCAGATTCTTGATCACCCGGTATATGTCCCAATTAAATATCAGTAGATAGTTAATCAAAAGTTGAGATAGGGACATGTGAGCTGTTTTGACCAATAATGAGTTTCGACAAAAAAATTCCTTAAGTTGAAAAATGTCGATTTTTCACACCCTATATCTCTGTAATCATTTCCGCTAGACCCCAAGTGTAAAATATCGATGAAATCAGCTCTTCAGAGAGAATCTGGAGATGCAATAAAATACAGGGTGTTCCATTTAAAATAACAAAGTTGTTGCTACTTTTCGATAGAAGCGGCAACGCCGTAGAGCTGAAAATATTTTAGATCGATAGATCAAGAGCAATTACTTGGGTAACGAAATTTTCAGAATGATCTTATGTCCCGTTCTCCGTAAACGTCTAAGGTGCCATCTACCGTGACCCACCCTGTATATAATTTATTGAGGTTATCTTTTGGCAGTTTTTGAAATGAATAGATTTCGTTGTATAGATCCAAGGCTGGTGTAGAACGCCAGACGACAATTCCGCGATTTCTGGCGTTCTACAGCTGCCTTAGAATCTACATGTTTTGAAAACTGACGCAGAAAACCTCAATAATGTACATGTATTTGAATTCAGAAGGAAGAGCTCTATCGATTGGGAAAATAAAATACAGGGTGTTCCATTTAAAAATACCTGTTTATGTTAAATTTTTAGGTTTACGATGCTTTTTTTTGCATTTTCCAGTACTAAATTCTGAATGCCCACAAAAAAAGAATTTACTTTTGCCTATTTGAACGTTTCTATAAAACCAATAATAACTGAGATACCTGTTGAGTAAAATATATAATCCCCCTGTACAATATTTTTTCTAATTTCGAATGAAGTAGGCAAGTTGACTTCTCCCGCTACTTCATATGCCAACATCAGTATGACACTGAGAAGTGTTAAACTATAAGCAGAGCAAAATTTTCAAAGAAAAATATTTTTCATTTTCATGTTGAGAACAGGAGCAGATTCGTTCCCGAAACGTCCAAAGCTAAGTGAAAATTTGATATTTTTTCTATATACCTTTATTTCTCTTCTCCAAACTTTTTTCAATACAAATTGTCACTGACAAGCTGGTGAATTTTTCTTTTAGGCTCTCTGATAGGAAAATTCTTTAAATACAGTGACATTTTGGTGCAAATCATCTACAGGTATATTGAAATAATATTCATATTTTTATTTTATAGAAACGAGAAAATCCCAAAAAATCTGGAATAATGAATGTACCACCTCCTCAATTAACCTACAGACAGTATTGTCAGTATTTATGTAATATCTTCTCAATATAATACGTTTTATGAAATAGATCAATACAGAATAAGAAGATATTATGCTATGTAGATAGTTAAATAATAAGGTATGTGTTACCAAAGTATAGGCGTTGTAAATCGATCAGAATTAAGTGAAACTGATGATATTTTTCTTCAGAATTTCGAAGACATTGATGATGGCTAAAATTGAGGTGAAACACATTCAGACTATTTTGTATAATACATGATTGTATTACTTGTATTCAAACTGAAAGAAGCTTCAAGAATTTGTAAACTCACAATCAGGACACGTCAGGACCGTATTCAAAAAAAAAAAGTATTGTTCTACGAAAAAGTTGCTATAGATAAGTATTTTCAATCTTACTGTATCTTCAATACCCAGATAACACCGATCTACTTGACCCACCATTCGCGAGTTCATTCATTCATCAGTGTTTGGCGTTTAGAAATGTTGGCGTTTACTTTTCAATGATTCATGAACGAATCGCGGTGTCGTTCTATTGTAATTCGTCTGAGCACTCGCAAAATGTTCAAGTGTCTTTCATTATCCCCACCATTCACGAGTTCATTCATCCATCCGTGTTTGGCGTCTAGGATTGTTGACGTATACTTTTCTATGATTCATTAAAGAATTGCGGTATCATCTATTGTTATTCGTCTGAGCTCTCACTCGCCAAATGCTCAAGTGTCTCTAATTATCCCCACCATTCGCGAGTTCATTCATTCATACGTGTTTGGCGTTTAGGAATGTTGGCGTATACATTTCAATGATTGATGAACGAATTGCGGTGTCTATATATCGTTATTCGTCTGAGCTGAGCACTCGCAAAACGTTCAAGTTTCTCTTGTTATCTCCACCATTCGCGATTTCATTCATCCATCCGTGTTTCGCGTCTAGAACTGTTGGCTTATACATTTGTATGAACCATTAAAGAATCTATGATCTATTGTTATTCTGTCCAAGGTCCGAACGTCAGCTCGTCATCTTACCTCAGCGCCGAAGGTGAAACTGACGCCCCTGTCGTTCTCCCCCCACCCCATCTGGTCCTTGTCGGGATCGGACCACAGCAGGTCGCAGAGCAGGCCCTGATCGGGCACGTCGGTCGGTCGCATTATCCTGCGTATCTGCTCCATGGACTGCAGGTCGGGGCTCAGCCCTGGAACATATTACCACATTTCAAAGTGTCTTGTGTTTGCGATTCGATATTTTCTAATGTAGCTGGAATACTTAGATATACAGGAGGTGATTCCTTACAATATTCTAATATGAATTGTCCAAATAAATATACAGCATGTATCACTTTACCCCATTAACAGCCAAAGGTGCGTTAACGCAACATTTCTGAAATATTCTATTCTCACGGTCGGAATTAACCTTACATTTTTTATGATTGTTGTAATTGTTGTGATGGATATCTATATAACAATACTGCCTCGCTAAACGAAAGTGCCGTATGTAGAAAACAACCATTTTGAGATATGCGACTATTAAAATTTTTCTTTGGCCAAAAGACCTAATGGTCAATTACGCAGTGATATACTAGTTTCTCAAGTAACTTCAATCATTTTGAATCATCTACAATAGTCATTTTTCATAAACAAACGTTTTTCTGCTAGAAAATGCATATACTGCAAAAATGATATTGCCATAACAAAGAACAAATGCCGTATGTGCACGTACATACTGCTTTATCATTAGGTAGTGTTAACATACGGAATTTATGCCTACTAACTCGTTAAATAAATAATGTTTGAATTCAATAAACTACTGCAAACCAGGGTTGGAATAAGTCATGAGTTTTATGAAAAAGTCAAAAAAGTCTGACTTTTTGAATTAATTCGGACTTTTTTGAATTAATTCATTTGAGAACAAATCAAATTCTATTCACTTGAACAAAATACAATATTGCAAAAACTAAGTTTTTATTTCCGTTGAAAATCTCAAAGCATGACAATAAATACTTAAAATATGCCATTTTTGCAATATGAACTGAGACTATTGATTGAATGAAAAATGATGTTCATGCAACTTGGATTACTCATTCACAATCTCCATTTTAGAGGCGCTTTACAGTTATTAAATTAAACAATTTTTCCATGCATTGCAAGGAATGAGTCCGGACATATTTATTCATATTGTGGTAATTTGTATTACTAGTGCAATTCTAGTGGTGACATGTTAGATTTTCGGAATTTCATGCATCATTAAATGCACATTGAATCTTACTTTTCTTGCCTTTCTCATGGTTTCTTCTACCCAACTCAAAACTCGGTGAGAAGTAATAATACACAGAATCTATGACAAAAAGACATTGCAAGCCGGTAATTCCGATTCAGTGTTGAAAAGCCTACATATTATTTTTTCCGGAAATATGAATTGGAGCAATCAATTGCATGCAATGAAATATTGTAAACTGTAAAGCGGCTCTTAGAAAATTTTGTTTTCCGCCTGTGGTGCTTCACGGTTGTCAGTTGTCAGATGCCATGGAATATTTCATTTTAAACTAGTTTAAATTGAAGGTAATAATGCGATTTGTTCCCATTTGATGAATTTTGAATTAATTCACGACTTATTTGAAAAAAGTCATTTGAATTAATTCACGATTTAAATCATTGACTTAATTCATATGAATTAATTCGTGCCAACCCTGCTGCAAACATGTTGATAAAATATTGAAAATCACTTCATCGCTAAAATAACACATCAATTTATACTATTTAGGACAAGTTTATTTGATTTCTTGACGATCAGGGACTGATTTTCAACTATTTCCAGAATTGTTTACTATTATTTGGAGAAACATTATTCAAATTCTTTAGAATACACCACATAGTGCTGATAAAAGAGATGGTGCTGACATGCATTGCCCTTTTTTTTTTCATGTTTTATCTATACAGGAAATCCAATAAACAATAAAACAAATTTGCCAAATCAGCTTAACATTTCAAGTCATAACTTATCCATCCGTAGTGCTTTTGAATGGGAGGTTGAATTGAGAAGATAGAGTTTAAAAACAGCACCTTTTCACCAAACACCTTTGGATTATTATTATTATTATCATTATGTCTGCTATGAGACAATCTGTTTTCTGCATTTCGATTTCTGTGTTTAGAGTCCTTCCAAAGAAAAAAGTCGGTGTGTTTAATTCCCTTCAGGTCTACTTTTGGAATATTGGCACTTAGGAAGGATTCTGATAGATAAAAACACCGACGTGAAGACAAACAACCAGAACAATCTACGAAACCTTCAAACAGACAGATACGCATTGCACAATCTCACCAACTTACTGAGCTAAAACGCAGTAGCTGACACTTGCTAAGGAAGAGAATGTAGTAAATACACAGCACGATGTTCTTTGAACATTATAGGGATTCCCTTTCGTGCGCTCCAAGCGATAAAAAAAAATATGCTGCACTTTTGTTTAATATACTGCAGGTACTGCGTCCTTATCTAGTATTCACAGTGAAGTTTGTACATACGGAAAACAGAATCGACAAATATTTCCACTAATTATAACATAACACAGAATGCGTTTTTACTTAGTAAAGTGATCCCAAAATAGCAGTAGTATACAACCATCCAAAAATCTCATAATTGCCGTTTTTGCACATACGGCACTTTCGCTTAGCAGGGCAGAATAGTGCAAAAGGGGTGAAAATATTTTTGTTCAATCCAAAAAATGATTCGTTCCTTGAGCGAGTGATCACATCATGTATATCACTGTTGCGATCAAACAGTTGCTTGTTAACAAATACATAGATACATAATTCAGGCAGCCGTGCGGACGGAGTGTCAGTATTCTAATCCGCATCGCATGTCGGTCGTGGGTTCAATTCCCCGCGACTGCAGAAATTTTTCTGATGGCCCAAGAAAGTGTTCGGGATCACACGTTAAAAGGTAAGGCCCCCGTCATTCCTTGCTCGCACAAGACTCTCGAAGACTTCTGAGGGTTGCTCGTAAGGGGGCAACCGAATGACGGATAGAACAATTTTACAATAAAAATAATTCAAAATATATAAGTAGGCAGGGTAGCGTTAATATCTTCAACCTTATGAAAAAAAGCTTGCGGGAATCCATTCTCGGAATACCCATTATACTTTTTACAGCCCGAAAAATATCCTTTGCTGATGTAGATGACCCCCAGAAACATATACCATAGCGAATACGCGAATCCACTTGAGCAAAGTAGAGACTGCACAACTGATTTAAATCCAAGGCACTTCTCAGATATTGTGAGGAATCATCTCCTGAAGTACTTTTGAATTAATTGAATTATTAAAAGGGTGGATATGACTTTGAGCTTTCCTTCTTCCCTTTGGTAATGTGTATAATGTAAGGAATTCAATACTATTAGAGATGACATAATTTTGGCTTATTTGGCGCAAAAATCTGAAACTGTAAAATCCTCTACCCTTTTTAGAGCATGTACTCTATGTCGAAAAATACCATGTTAGTGAAGAAAAATGTAAACATAGCCACTTTCCCCATTGATTTCTTATTCTACACTTTTGCCGAAAAAATAGTGACGCAACACGTCCCAAAAACATTATATTCCGGACTTGTTACGTAAATTACAATTGATACTGGCTTAAAAGTGAGTGTTTTGTAAGTGTTTTCTAAGATCTGAAGTGACTCGATGTGAATACGTTTTGTATTGGATTCCATCACCAATATTCAAAAGAAAATATTTCAAGAAAATTCGGAAATCTGTGATGAAGTAAAAGTAACACGGTACATGAAGTAAAAGTAACATGATACATGAAGTACGTTTAAAAGGGTTAAAAATCACTGATATAAATAAAAACTGTCAGAGGACGGTACAGTCACTAAGATTTCCATAGATGAAGTACTCGATTTTTTTTTCATTTTTTCTTCAATTTTTGAGATGAAATTTTCCGTTAATTTGAAGACATTGAATATTTTGGGAGTTTTTGATAGACTAAAGCATATTGCGGTGTTCAATACAATGTATTGATTTCAATAGCACCCTATATACGCGTTTTACACAGTACAGTGTGTCCAGTTTTCGATGCTTTTGCATGATATCTCAGTTATCTTTGGAGATAGAACCTTGCGGTTTTCGCGGTCCTGTGGCACTTTTTTGTGAAACTCCAGATGGCCTAATCAGATTTTGCAGGACTGTTTCCGTTTATGGGATACAGGGCGATTTTGAAAATTTATACTTTTTGGACCCCCTCTATATCTACGAAGTTTATCAGCGAAAATGTCAAATTAAAATCTTAACCCATAGAGAATTTTATGCAGAATCCAGTGGCGCACAAAAATTTTTTTTTCGGGGTGTGGTTTTGAAAATACGACTCGAACTTATGATTTTTTTAAATTGAACACCCTGTATTTTATAGGCTCATTAAATTCCTTATTTTTTTCCCTTCGAAATGATATATGATGTATGAATATAACATCTTCAAAAATGTTAAAAAATCACTAAAACATTGAATTTTAATAGTGGGCTATGGGTTTTTCGAGGGATTTTAATATAAAGAAATTTACAATTGAAGGAATATTTCCTTTGATTGTTCCATGAAGGGGGAAATAACAATTTCAACACTAATTAACTTACAATACACAAGACTTAGATACCTGATATCCACAAATATATAGTAATGAAAAGTTTATAATGTAGAATAAGCACCTGATTGAATATTTACTAAAACAATTGAATTCCGAAATTATTCAGTGATTTATTCATTGAATTGTTCAAATTGATGTCCATTTTTTATCACAAACTTTTTCAATACATATTAATCATTGAAAGATTTCTTTGTAATTCCTGGAAAACTGCCTCTGTTGTTGCACAAAGTTCTTCAAGTATGTTGGGCCACTCACTGTATCAAGAAGTATTGGGAAAGTTTGTCAACTGTATGTTGGGGAAAATGGATATCAATTTGAACATGTCAATAAGAAGTTACTGAATAATTCCGCAATTCAATTATTTTAGTAAATATTTAATGAGGTGCATATTCTACATTATGAACTTTTTATTGCTATTTATTTGTTGCTATCAGGTACACAAGTTTGGTGTTTTGTTAATTAATAAGTGTTGAATAAGTGTTGATATTGGTTTTGACCTCTCCATGGAAAAATTTAAAGAAATATTTCTTCAATTGGAATGTGTTTCATAAGAAAAATCCATAACCAACTATCAAAATTCAATATTTTAGTGATTTTGAGCAATTTTGAAAATTTTATATTCATTCGTTATATATCATTTTGAAGACAAAAAAATTAGGAATGTAATGAGCTTATGAAATATAGGGTGTTCCATTTGAAAAATCATAAGTTTGAGTCGTATCTCCAAAACCATACCCCGAAAAAAAAAATTTAAGTGCGCCACTGGATTATGCGTGAAATTCTCAATGCGATAAGATTTTGATTTGACATTTTTGTTGAGAAACTTCGTGGATATAGAGGGGGTCCAAAAAGTATAAATTTTCAAATTCGCCCTATATCTCATAAACGGAAACAGTCTTGCAAAATCTGATTAGGCCATCTTGAGTTTCACAAAAAAGTGGCACAGGACCGCGAAAACTGCAAGGTTCTATCTCCAAAGATAACTGAGATATCAGGCAAAAGCATCGAAAACTGGACACACTGTACATTCATTCTCACTGGAGTTTTCTACTTCTTTTCGGATAGAAAAGTAACTGATTTTGGGTGCGTAGCGCGATTCCCAATTCCCACGATGCCCAATTCCCACCATGCCCATCTTCATGTCGACGAATACGAAGATTGCCAAAGAGCGCAACGGTGCCAGGTTATGAGAAAAATTCAGAAAACACAGGATTCCCACCACGGCCACTTTTCATAGATTCCCACGATGCCCAATTCCTGGAGCCCACCTTCCTTGGATTCCCACCATGCCCCTTTTTCATACATTACCACGATGCCCGATTCTCACCATGTCCACTTTTCATACATTCCCACGATGGCCAATTCCCATTTCCCACCATGTCCACCTTCATCATGGTGAGAATCCAAAGAAGGTGGGCACGGTGGGAATTGAGCACCGTAGAAATATATGAAAAGTGGGCATGGTGGGAATTGAACATCGTTGAAATTGGGCATCGTGGGAATGTATGAAAAGTGGGCATGGTGGAAATCCAAGGAAGGTGGGCATGGTGGGAGTCCAAGAAAGGTGGGCGTGGTGGGAATTGGGCATGGTGGGAGTTGGGCATCGTTGGAAGAAATGATAAGTGGGTATGGTGGGAATCATGTGTTTTCTGAATTTTTTTCATGACCTGGCAACGTTGCGCTCTTCGGCAATCTTCGTAATCGTCGACATGAAGGTGGGCATCATAGGAATTGGGCATCGTGAGAATTGGGCATCGTGGGATCCTCCCCTGATTTCAACTTGCATGTAATGAGCTGTGTAACATAACCACCAAATTCCCTAGTTTCAACAGGACTTACCTCCATGACAACAAAATATTTTCTCATCAACTATCGCAGCTACAGGCAGGCAATTGAAACAATCGGTGAAAGTTTTCCACAATTTGATGTTGTATCTGAAATTAGAATCGTGCCAGTTTGCAGTGACATATACAAGGTATCGCTAGACCAACCATGTAATATACAGGGTGTGTTCAAAAATATGGAGAGACTAAATTCAATCAAGCAAATCAATGTCATACAATTTTACTATGAATATAATCATTCCATGGTGAATACTCAAAGGGCATATCAAAACGCCCCATCCCCTGGGACTACCCCCCTACATGATATTTTTCCTATGAAATTTCGAAAAAGCTTTGATAACTGGTAAAACTAGGATGAAACACATTCAAACTACTTTGTTCAATGAATTGTTGTATTCAGAATAAAAAAAAATCAGAATCTGTGAACACATAATCACATAATAAACATATTTGGAAAAAATAAGTTGATGAAGGTTTGACGAATACGAAACGTAGCATAGAGAAATCAATATCACCATGAGAAATCTCATCAAAGGTTGACATGTAAAAGTGTTCTCAGTTTTTCTGCCACTCCAATAATAACGTAGAAAAAATAGATTTTCCAGAAATTTCCTTTTTTCCACATAACTGAATAACTAAATCCGAAAATTTTGGAAAGCTGTAGGAATGACGACCATCTGAATACGCAAGTTTTTTTTCCATTCAACCGAATTCGTATCTCCTATCGTTTCCGAGATCCCCGAGCTATGAAACCTCATCTTGGTCACACTGTATACTTACAAACCAGAACAATTAGAATAGACCATTGCTTAACGAGTATGGCATTTTATATAGTGAGGTTGGCACAAAACTGTTGTATATTAGGGTTGCCAACTTAATTAATGAAAATATAATATGATATGATGAATAAATTGAAAACACTAATTGTTCATTTCCACCACTGTCCAAATCCGACGGCACATTAGCAACAACATCGCAGGAGAAAGCAAATATTTTTGCAGAGATGTTCGCAGCAAACTCTAATTCAGATTCCCAAGGAAACCTGCCGCCAGACATTCCACCGGTTGACAGACGAATGCCCGAAATCGTCTTCCGTCAACGCACTATCAGACGAATTTTGCTTGGTCTCAAAACGAATAAGGCTAACGGTCCTGATGGAATTCCACCCATTGTCCTCAGAAAATGTGCACCAGAATTAACACCGATTCTCTGCAAGTTGTTTACCATCTCGTACAGGTCGGGTATTTTTCCATCATGCTGGAAGACAGCTAGAGTCCAACCAATCCCCAAAAAAGGGAACAAGAACCTGCCCAACAACTATAGGCCCATTGCCCTGTTAACAGTAATCTCCAAAGTGATGGAGAAAGCCATCAATATTGAGATTATCAAATATCTGGAGAGCTCAGGAATCATCAATGATAGACAATACGGCTTTCGCAACCGAAGATCTACTGGAGATCTACTTGCCTACGTCACCCATTTATGGCAAGCTTCATTAGAAAAACACGGGGAATCTCTAGCTGTCGCGTTGGACATATCGAAAGCATTTGACCGTGTTTGGCACGAAGGACTCCTTCACAAACTACCATCATACGGCTTACCACCTCAGTTATGCCATCTCTTATCGAGTTTTCTTTCAGGCAGATCGCTTCACGTGGTGGTGGATGGTGTATCGTCTGATACCATAGGCATCAATTCCGGAGTTCCACAAGGATCAATTTTGGCACCAACATTATTCCTGCTTCATATCAATGATCTGTTGGGAGTAACAACTTGCCCCATCCACAGCTTTGCAGATGATAGTACCCTCCATACTGCGTTCTCTTCCAGAATTCCCATTTCTTCCCAGAAAACTAAGAACTCACGGCGCAGGCAGGTCAATGCTGTCAAAGAAGATCTTGCTGAAATCACAGCCTGGGGAACAAACAACCTAGTTGAATGCAACGCCACCAAAACTCAAGCCTGCATTTTCTCTAGAAAGGCGGAACTCAGTATGCCCGATATTGTAATGTCTGGCTCCACCATCCCCACCAAGCCCACCATATCTATGCTCGGTATTTCCATCAGCAACACTCTTTCATGGGATAATCATGTCAGATCCATCGCAAAAGCTGCTTCACAAAAACTCAGATTCTTGTTCCGTGCGAAAAGCTACTTTACACCTCAACAGCTTCTTATGATCTACAAAGCGCAGATACGTCGTTCTAGAATACTGTTCCCACACATGGGGTTCAGCACCAAAACATACGCTGATGCTCTTAGATTCCATCCAGAGAAGAGCCATTCGCCTGGTGGGTGACACCACACTCACTCACTCTTTGACATCATTGGAACACCGTAGAAAGGTCGGCGACCTTTCACTTTTCTATCGATACTTCCACGGGAAATGTTCTTCGGAAATCTCTGCTATCATCCCTTCACTAGCAATACCAATCAGACGAACTAGACAAGCCCAGTCAGCACATCCTTTCGTTGTCAACCTCGAAAGATGTCGAACAGCACTTTATCAAAACTCCTTCATCCATAGAACGGCTAGGCTCTGGAATTCATTGCCTGTGGAAGTATTCCCAACAACATAATAATCTCCAAAAGTTCAAAAAAAATTCCAATACCTACCTCCTGTCCCTATCCTCCCTAGGAACGCACGATGTTCTTTGAACATTATAGGGATTCCTTTTCGTGTGCTCCAAGCAATAAAAAAAAAATCCCCGAGCTGTGAAACCTCATCTTGGTCACAGTGTATACTTACAAACCAGAAGAATTAGAATAGAGCATATCTTAACCCTTTCCGGCCCAAATTATTGAATTGAAAAAAATATATCATTCGATAATTCTATCATTGATAAGATTCTGAAGGTTGTTAAAGAAGAAAAAATGACAGACATGTAGTTTTTATGACTCAAATACTATGATGCCATATGGCATCATTGGGATAATCCTAAACAATTGCATGATGTATATAAATACAGTTTGGGCAATATAAATCATACTTTAGAATGAAATGTTGTGAAACATTTTCTGTCTTAGTAAGGCATAAGGTCATTTGACATTTTTCGCAAAAAATTAGCGAATAATTTTTATACAATTTCTGCATCTCTGCTTCGGCTCTATGTGAATGGGAAAATGCCCAACTCTATCCAAACAGATATTGCTCACTGGAAGGGCTACTTTTGCTCTTGTTTTCAGAGGCGATGTTGTTTGTGGGGACTGTACAGCTGATGAAGGTCTTCCTCGCTTACTAGTATTTTCTTTTCCATCTTTCAGTAAACAGCCTCAGCCCAGTACATACGATAGCTGGACATTTTCACAATACCACTCGAGATATGTATTCCCAAGAATTGTTCGATTTCATTTACATTCGTATTTATTGACATTTCATTATCTTCCACTGAATATAAATTTTTCTGATGTGCAATGTCGCTGATTAGTTCATCACCAATAAAATACCTGAAATAATCCAGAGGTGTATGCTCGAGATCACCTGGTGGAGAAAAATGATGGTCACAGTCTGAATGTACTTGATCCAACGCCAACGATAATCTTTTTTGGTTACACTTTTTTTTTGAAATCTTGAGAGTGGCAACTCGTCCTCAGGGTCATAATCTACATTAGGTTTTGCAAGTTCACAAGTCATTCCAATATTCTCCAAGATACGCCCATTAGAGACATTGGATATGTCAGCAGGTATAAAAATGGTCGTTAGAATGCAAGTTGTGAATATGTAGAATTTGAAATTATTGTTTTCATATTTGTTCATGAATATTGAACGATAGACAGCATCACATAAGCAAATCAAATCAACTGATCTATAAACAAAATTCAATTTTGTATTTATCTTCAATACACTCCGAGCGCCCGATGATGCCATATGGCATCATGATAAATCAAATACCATGCACGACATTGAATTCACATATTTTGATTATATGAATGATCAATACTAACAAACATCAGTTTTACTTACTGTGTAATGGGTTATTTCAATGAAAATCAGCAAAACTGTCACTTTCAAATACAAAAAGCATGCACGTGTTTTGCATTCACGACTATTCGCCATTTGCGATACACAAAATATCCGCAATGATGCATCCTGTGAAGTATGACACCCCATTTTTGCAAGAGTCTTGACATCTAGAGTATCTAGGTATAACTTGAGTTTCAGAAATCTGTGATGCCGAATGATCTGAACGCGCCTATACGTGGATAAAATATATGATGCCATATGGCATCACTGGGCTTGAAAGGGTTAAAGAGTTTGGAAATTTATGAGGTTGGCACAAAACTGTTGTATATTAGGGTTGCCAACTTAATTAATGAAAATATAATAATATGATATGATGAATAAATTGAATAAATTGAATACACATGATATACAATCATTATCAATAATATGATAATGATTTTGGTGACGTTGGCAATCAAATGAGTTACAGAACATGGTATTCACTACTAAAATCTGAACATGAAAATGGTAAATTCAAGATTAATTAATGAAAACATCCTCATTTGATTGCCAACGTCACCAATTGTCAATGAAAAATGAAAAGCTTCAAGACAAATACGACTTAGCTATTAAAATAATAATTTCTTATGTTGAAAACGGTAGCAGAATCGGTCCCGAAACGTCCAAAGGTAAGTGAAAATTTGATATTTTTTCTATATACCTTTATTTCTCTTCTCCAAACTTTTTTCAATACAAATTGTCACTGACAAGAATTTTTCTTTTAGGCTCTCTAATAGGAAAATTCTTTAAACGCAGTGACATTTTGGGGCAAATCATCTGATTTGTCCTTACTACACATAATATATTGAAATGATATTCATATTTTTATTTTATAGAAACGAGGAGAGAAAATCCCAAAAAATTTGGAATAATGAATGTACCACCTCCTCGATTAACCTACAGACAGTAATAAATAAATAATAAATAATAATAATAAAATAGTGACTATTACCTTCTTTTGCATTCATCGTAAAATCCATAAATACGATTGATGGAGGCGCACTCGTGATTTCCACGCAGCAAGAAGAAATTCTCCGGATACTTTATCTTGTAGGCCAGCAACAGGCAAATAGTCTCCAGCGATTGCTTGCC